AAATGAATTAAACGTTTAACTGATAATACTGTAAAAAGAAAGAAAAACGATTCATTACACTAAACAAAAGCCAATTTCATCAATTTAATCAGCACAAATAATCACTGTATTCCTTTTCCTTTTCCTTTTTTTTTTTTTTTTTGCTTTTTCTTATTCTGCTTTCTCTGTTAATTCGTCGATTAGATCATTTTTCATTAATTGTTTAGTGAAAAAAAAAATGTCCTTCTGTATCAACCAGAATTGCTTAGTTTTGTCTTTTTTTACCCCTCCCCCATTCATTACCTGCACTAAAATTAGACATCACTCAATCATCTATCCGGTTTCTGAGGTTTAAAAACTGTAATTAATGCAAATAAAAATGAAAAACTAAACAACTGTCAACTGAAAAACGACAGATACTCTTATTTGTACTGTATAACTGCAGAAAATAAAGAATTGAATAATACTGAAGTAAACCATCTAAGAAATATGTTTATTTTAAAAAAAAAAAAAACCAAGAAAAAAGTAAAAAGAGATTATAGCTTTCAAATCTCCCACAAAATATTATAAAGTTTCAGTTGTCACCTATACATCAAAATTTATAGTAATAAATCAATTATAATTTACAAGAAAAAAGAAAAATTCTTTCTCAATTACCTCCATTTTATTTCTACAGATAAAAACTTTGTTCGATCAATATGATTTTTTATCATACAATTGCAGCAATACAAATTTTTTGCAATTCATACAAATATATACGTATATAAACACCGATATATACAGAGAGCAATGAGTATTTCATGCAAATTAAGACTTAAAAAAAAAAATTTACTTTAGCTAAACAACAGCAAATTTAATAGACATTATTGATAATTAACTAATGGAGAAGAACCAATTTCACTACCACAAATGTTACATGCAAAAAAAAAAAATAGTTCTTCACTTTTTTTTTTCGAAAGATTTAAGCAAACTAAAAAAAAAAAGGAAAGCAGCAACAAAACCTTTTCTAAAAAACAAAAAAGATGTTTTTTTTAGATGTGATTATCTGTTTCCGCCCGTTGTTTCCAAATCTTCTATTTTTGTTCATTCACCAAAGAATATGCAACCAAAATGTAACCACAATTCACGCGCTGCCGTTTTATTCTTTTCTGTTTCGTCACTTACTTTACCACATTTACAGACATTGGCAAAAAAAAAAAAAAAAAAAAAAAAAAAAAAAAA